AGAACTCGCTGATCATGCTTGGTGTCATTAACTTCGTCGGTATGCTCTTCACTTTCCTTGTGCCTGAGCCCAAGGGTAAGTCCCTCGAAGAGCTCTCCGGTGAGACTGAGGTTGAGAAATGATTACGGTGATACTAGTTACTGATTTTGTAACGATGAAACTGTTGTATTTCTATTTTTAATTTTTATTATCTGGTGTGCGATGTTTGGTTTTGTTTTTCTTTTGTTTGTTCGCTGACGTTGAAGTTATAATGATGTTATAAGATATTTCTATCCTGCATATCTAATATCTATGTTTTATTTTCGTTGCTCTGCGCTGTGGTGTTGCTATGTTTTGTACCGATCGATCTGAACTTTTGTCTTTAGGCTTTTTCCTTTTCCATGTAACTCTTCTTTAGTTATAACTAGATAACCGCACACACGATGCGTGGGTTATTGTATATTTTTCTTTCTTAAACAAATTAATGAAATACCTTATAAGCAAGCAAACAACATACACAAACATATAGGAGATGAATGGATGGTTAACAAAGTTTATATATATTTGAAAGGAGTTTCCTGTATTTTGTTACGTGATATACTATTAATCACAAACATAAAAATAAATAATTCGAATTTAGTTATTAACAATATTAATTAAGAATTAAATATTCAATTATATGAGAATATGAGATTGTATAAATAGAAACAGAAAATTAATTAAATTCAAATTCAACTTACAAAGTAATATGATTTCTTTCGGGTCATTTTTTATTTATTCGGTTTTGTTTCTCTAAATAATGTTGTTTGATTAATTTAATGAATTGAACGATTACTTTTAGTTTGTTACGTTTTGATTCAATTATTCTTAGTGTTACATTCAAGTTTTTAACTAAAAAAACAGTTAGTTTATATGACCTCTAACAATGTTACATTTTAAGTAATGTATGAGACAAAACACATGAATTATAGAGGATCACAATGGTGTGTGCGATATCTTTGTGCAAAGATAGAGGATCAATTGAAACTTGGACACAAATTAAACTATAAAATGTTAGAAAGTCCCTAAAAATCATCGTATATCAAGTAAAAAATATAATGCTTGATGTAGATGAAAGAACACAAATCATCCATTAATTTTTATAGCAATGAGAGTTATATGACGCAATATTTTATATTTTCTCTATATATGTACAAAGAGAAACTATATTTTTATCACACTAACTATTTATAACATAAGAGTTAGTACTACATTTTGTGGAATTAATTGTGATATTTGTTTTTAATCTATACTATTAATTGGGAAGCACTCAAACATAAATAACCTTATAAAGTGTAAAGTATTACAAAAATGCCATTGGTTTTAGTTTTTAAATAAATTCATTAAAGATACAATAGTAATCACAAAATAATATATTTAAATAAAAAATAATAAAATTCTTTAAAGTAATTATTAGTTTCCAAAAAATTAAACTCACTTTCTCTCTCTTATTAATTATGGACGAAAATTTAAATTTTTTTTCTAAGAAATTGTTAACCAATGAGAATTGAAAAACTAAGATTTGATATCCAACTAAAATTTTATCTAAACCAATCCTAATAAACTATTCTATATCAAAAATAAAAAGAAAAATAATACCATTTTAATTCAAAATTAAAAACACTATAGTTTAAAAAATTTTGTCGATGGAGAATTTTAAGATTGAATTTTAAATTTCGTAAAAAAATTAAATACAAATATTTAAGACTCAGTTTTGTTATAATATTTTCACAAATTTTGAAATATAAAACAAAATTTTATTTTATAATTTCTAAAAAAACGATATTGGGCATTTATTTAGAGCAAGTTTCGGAAATCTCTAAACAATAGATTGTACATATTAATTTCGAAAAATTTTGTGTTTTCTTTTTTTTCTTCTCAACCGGATCTTCCTTAAACCAATCCATAATATATTGCACACAGTTTTCGAAATAATATGAACTAATTATATATGTTGCATTCAAAACAAATTATGCAGCAATAGCATATCCCTTTTATAGATATATCTCAAATTTTAATTTTACTCCAAAAAATCGAATTAATTATGATTAAACAATGAAAAGAAATATATGCAAAATTTAGCTAGAAACATTATCTAATTTGTTAAAATATATTTATAACTTTAACAGCATACATATTAATCCGCAAAACTCACAGTATATATTGTAATATTGTATGGTATTTACAGGTAAGCAAACAAGAATTTGGAACATAATTTTAATGGAATAAAATGGAAATAGAATTTACGAGACGGAAGGGAAACATATATTAAAAATCAAACTAAATACCCAACTGGTATGAGTTCGGGTTATGAACACTATATAAAATAAATTTGTTTACACACATAACCATGTACATACGTTTTCAGTTACACATACTCTATTTATGACAGATATGGGACCGTAATATTTTTATTTTACGTGTACGTGACAGGTTATGGGATAAAGAATTTATGACAGATACCGGACGGGATATGTTTCATGTTCCAAAATAGTTACGCCTTGCTAATATACATGAAATAACCCAAACTAAAACCGAATTCATATCCTATTTAACATATGTAATCAAACTGTTAGAACTATTTTGATTAGTTAAGAAAATAAAAATGTAACACCATTTAACTTTTGCAACTAAATTAGTTCGGATCTTAAAATATAATTATGCATTAACGCAACTGAATTTTTTGTTCATTACTCTAACTTTATAATATTTATATTATTAGGAAGTTCACTAATACAACAAAATATTTTATATTTTTAAAATCTATATAACAATTTCTATAAAAATATTTCTATACATACGTGGATCCAGATCTAATAAACTAAAATATATATCATAAAACAAAAAATAATTCTATATTGAATTAAATTTTGTTAAAAAAAATTAAAATTTGAAACCCCGCACGTACGTGCGGGTCATGATCTAGTTAGTCTTATCCTAAAATCATGCATTTTAGTATGAAATTCTGATAACCACATGTTACACAACTGTGTTTTTAAATGATGATATTTTTTAAAATTCATATTGTTTACAATTAACTTATAATATATATATTTATAAAAAAATTCCATCAATACATTGAACGCAACCAATATGAATAGAGTGAAACCCGTCTTTTATATAATTTTTCCAATTATATACATTAAAAGCATTACTTTTACTATAAAAGTTAATTATTATAGAAATTACAGAAAAATGTAAAAATGAAAAAATAAATTGACAAAACAAAAATATTGGACTTTAATAAAAAATTACTGAATTAAAAACATAAATAATTATTAGTATGTGGGTTACAAATATGAAAAACATAGCATTTATGAATAAATTTAATTGAAGAATTAATTGTGATATTTATTTGTATCCAAAAGGCATGCATTTTAGTATGGGATTCTAATAACCACGTTACAAAATTTTGTTTTTAAATGATGATATTTTATTGAAATTCATATTTTTTATAGGCAAGTAATATATTTATAATTGTTTCCAATAATTTCATTGAAAGTAACCAATTATAAGAAGAGTATAATTTAAAGCATTACTATTACTCAAAAAGTAAATAATATTGAAATTACCGAGAAATATAAACATTAATTTAAAAACATGAAAAAACAAAAAGATTGGACTTTATTAAGAAAATCATTGAATTAAAAACATAAATAATTATTAGTATGTGGGTTACAAATCTGAAAATATAGAAAATAATCTATTGTAAATTACTATTAGAAATTTATTTTCCACAATATTGGTGTCAAATAAGATTACTAAAAATTATTGAATTAACAACATTAATAATTATTAGTATGGGGGTTACAAATCTGAAAATACATAAAATAATTTATTTTAAATTATTATATGAAATCTATTTTCCACAATATTGGTGTCAAATAAGATTATTGGTTTCATTATGGTAAATTAATGTGAATACTTAAACACTTTAATAATAATAAAGGTTAAAAAGAAATATAGTTGTCATATTTGAATTTTATTCTCTACATTTTATTGGTCTTAAAAAGTATGGAGGAAAAGAACTAAAATTTAAAATAGTGAAAAATAAATTAATGGAAAAATATTTATTGAGTTCAATAAATATAGGTTGCAGTATTAAGAGATGAAAAATATGACACAAGTCAAGCATTTGAAGCGCCAAATGTCAAAATATTAAAGCAACTTTAGAAAAAACTTTTTCATATTATATAAGATTCGACTCCTTGATTGGTTACAGAATTAAAAAAAATGTATTTACATATGAATAAAGTGTTTACTCTTTAGACTTCTCTTCGTACACCTTAAGTCATTAATAAATAAACGGAAAATATGATTTCTGTAATCCCGAATATTGTCGCCGGATATAGGCCATGCCTGAACAGTACCTATCTTTTCAGTTATTTCCGTTGTTGGCTTTTGTAAGTTATCCACAATATAATATAAAGTCTACGAATTGTAAAAACAAGCATAATTCACCAAAATCATTTTTTCATGCAAATGCCAAATCTTAAATATATATATATATATACCAAATCTTGTAATCCGGTGTAAACCATTTCCCATTCCTGTGATTCCAACTTAAGATACATGTATTATTTTAACATTCTGATTTATAGAACATGGACATTAATGTAGTTTGTGCTTGTAAGCTTCGTGATGTTTGACATGTTGATGTTGAGGACAATGGTTGTGGTGAGTAAGATTGCATCGGTGCAATTGTTTGTTTGCTCAGCCATGGTGCGCGATGAAGGTTAAGTGTACGGTCTCATTTTGATGATGATGATCTTGTGCTCTGTCGCTTCTGGTCTCTCCTTTGGCCACGAAGCCAAGGGTGTCATGACCACCCTTTGCTTCTTTAGGTACAATTTTCATCCAACTATAATATTATTATATACACACATATAGTTAACCGATAATCTCATAGCGTATGCAAGTTTTAAAAATTAGTCACGCTTCAAACTGATATAGATATTTTTCTTAAAGAAAATATTTAATATATATAAACCATTTTGTAGATTTGTGGCTGGGATTTGGTATTGGAGGTGACTACCCTCTTTCTGCCATGTCTGAATACGCAAACAAGAAGACCCGTGGGGCTTTCATCGCGGCTGTCTTTGCCATGCAAGGTGTCGGAATCTTGGCTGGAGGTTTCGTGGCACTCGCAGTGTCTTCTATATTCGACAAAAAGTTCCCAGCTCCAACATATGCAGTCGACAGGGTTCTCTCAACGCCTCCTCAAGTTGATTACATTTGGCGAATCATCGTCATGTTTGGTGCTTTACCCGCAGCTTTGACTTACTACTGGCGTATGAAGATGCCCGAAACAGCTCGTTACACCGCTTTGGTGGCCAAGAACATCAAACAAGCCACAGCAGACATGTCCAAGGTCTTACATACAGATCTTGAGGTTGAGGAGAGGGCCGAGGATTATGTCAAAGACCCCAAACAAACCTATGGCTTGTTCTCCAAGGAATTCCTTAGACGCCATGGGCTTCATCTCCTTGGAACTACCTCCACTTGGTTTCTGCTTGACATCGCCTTCTACAGCCAAAACTTGTTCCAGAAGGATATTTTCTCGGCCATCGGATGGATCCCAAAGGCGGCCACCATGCATGAACGCCACCCATGAGGTTTTCAGGATTGCTAGGGCTCAGACTCTTATCGCCCTTTGCAGTACTGTCCCAGGCTACTGGTTCACAGTTGCCTTTATTGATATCATTGGAAGGTTTGTGATCCAGCTAATGGGATTTTTCATGATGACCGTGTTTATGTTTGCCATTGCCTTCCCTTACCACCACTGGACCAAACCAGAAAACCGTATCGGATTCGTGGTTATGTACGCTTTCACTTTCTTCTTCGCCAATTTTGGTCCAAATGCAACCACTTTTATTGTCCCGGCTGAGATATTCCCGGCTAGGCTAAGGTCAACATGTCATGGAATATCAGCCGCGGCTGGTAAGGCTGGAGCCATCGTTGGAGCGTTCGGGTTCCTATATGCAGCTCAATCTCAAGACAAGGCCAAGGTCGATGCCGGATACCCACCAGGTATCGGAGTTAAGAACTCACTGATCGTGCTTGGTGTTCTTAACTTCATCGGTATGCTCTTCACCTTCCTTGTCCCAGAGCCAAAGGGCAAGTCCCTCGAAGAACTCTCTGGTGAGGCTGAAGTTAGCCATGACGAGAAATAGTTATTTATTTTGTGACAATGAAACTATTGTAATTTTCTATTTTAATTTTGTTATTTGGAGTGGGATGTTTGGATTTGTTTTCATTTCACTTAAAGTCATGATGTTATAAGAATATTTATGATATCATTTAAATCTTGTTGAATATTTCGAAATCGACTCACTGTTCTGGAAAAAAGCTTATTCACTCCAAAAGCAAGGTTAAAATTAGCTTTAGTCGTTTACTTATATTAATCTATTAGAAAACTAATGAATTTCATTCAAAGTTTAGAGCTCTATCAAAACAGAGCAACACACTAGCTTAGAGCAACGAAAATAAAACACAAGAATTTGACTAGTACACCATCAGGCCCGGCCCGAAACAGAAGCCCAACAAGCAAGGGCTTCTGGCAGCAGATTTTTTATGTAATTTTAGGGGCATCAAATTTGAGAATGTCCTTTAGTGTAGTTGTAAAGTGCTGTGCCATTATCCATCAAAGCAGGGTTTGAATCCCTTCAATTTTTTTTCCCAAAATCGATTTTTTTTTATTCTTTTTCAAAAAAAAAATTTTTAAACGTTTCCCTTTCCATTTGTTAAATTAATTAAAATTAAATAATTATTTATTAAACAAATTAACTACATGAACCTAATTTTTTCTAGGGTTAATTACGGGCCAGGCCCAAGTTCTATGTTTTTCTTTCAGGTTTTGACAAAGTGGGGAAAAGCTTTCACGGTTTGACAATTATGTCAATTTCAGACGAAAATGCCCTTCTAGCGGAACCGGTGTACAGCGACAGCGAACGAAATCGTCAGGCGCGTTGGTTACGTACACAGTATCTCGTTAGCTATAGTAAATTAGTTTTTTAATATTTCCGTCGGGTGTACAGTGAACGGCGAACGAATAAAACAAATAAAATATGGTGTCACAAATGGTTTAAATGCTGAAAAAGTTGAGACATGACTCATTCCAACTATAATCAATGCAAACTCATCATTACATCTTATTTTAATCCTCTTAAATCATAAATTCGTACACTGTTTAGATTTTGTAAAGAGAAATAAGAAAAAACATAAACTTCCCCTAAATATCTATGAAGGAATGAGATTGTGGCCATTTTGATCTTGTTGTTTAACAAAGTTTGCAGGCGAGAAAGCAGTGACCGTGGTTAGTAATGAAGTTGTAAATATAAATTTTAGTTATTACATACACTTTCAATGAAAACAAAATTGATTTGGATACAAAACTTCAGGAATTTGATTTATTCCTGTCTTGATTCTATATTTGTTCTGTAGTAAATGTTAAATGAGGAGATTCAATGTGCATTAAGTGTGTAGTTGCAAAGTCTTTTTTTAGTTGGAGTTATAAAAGTTGTTCTCAGTTACATTTAATGGGGTTCTCCTGAATTTATGATGCAGGATGTTAATGGAGATTGCAGTATTTATTATGGTTGGTGATTGGATAGTAACAGAAGGAAAATGGAAATTTGAACATGAGAAAGGAAGTTATGGTCGGTGTGTACGTGTTAGGGAAAACATGACGTACACAGATTTGGCAAGTACATTATGTGAGGTTTTCAATTTGAAGTACAAAGAATGGCAGCCAATAATTAGTTACTGGATGCCGGGAAATATGTCAATTATGATACAACGTACACGTCCTCCTATCTACATTGACAATCAAATGAGCTTGGATACATTCTTCCTAATTCGTGTTGGGGATCAAGTGTCAACTTGTTTGTGTCTTTCAGTAGAACTGTAGATGCCACTAATGCGGATGTAGATGAGCAAACTGACGTACATGATGAAAAAACAAATGAAGATGCAGAGGATGAGGAGAACGAAGAGGTGGATGGGAAAGAATTGAATGACAGCGACGAAAACATTGAAAAAGATGACGATGTCAATGGTGGCTATAGTGCGGGAAGTACTCTCGACCCTACTATAGACGGCAGTGAAGGTAGTGGTGAAGATTACAATTTCAACAAGTAGAATGATTTGATTGTAGAAGAATATGGAGTTGGCCATGTTGAGGAGGACGTCTGTGACATTCCACCGACCGTGGAACCGGCAGGGGAATTCAGTCGTCTATTGGCAGAGTGTACGACCACAAGTCAACGTGTATGTATAGGAGAAACCAGTGCGAATTTGGGTGACACTCAGCTAACTATGAATTCAACCCGGACGTGTCAACATGGATTACTCCAATGTACGTACACTAGAGAATGTGTACGAGACACATGATGCGAAGGTGAATTTGTTACGTATACGGATACCGATGTTAATGGTAGAGACGAAGTCAATGGAGAGATTGGTGTGGATTTGGATATCGGAGGTTTAGAAACTAGTGTCTTAAATGAAACTGATCTCCGTATACAACCCTCGGTTAAGTCTTACGAAGTGTATAATGGATTTTCTTTATTACATAGTGGAGAGTCGGAGATTCTCGATAATGATGCTGCTCCAGTCTTTGATGATTTAGCCAAAGTTCGATGTGATTCTACAGAAGTTGAAATTAGTACGACTGGTGAGACATTGTATGTGGGTAGTGTGTTTATGAACAGGCAAGTCATACAACAAACTATGGCTTATCTTGCACTCAAAGTTTGCTTTTGCTACAAGCAAACTCGGTCTGATCGTAGAAGATTGGAGATGGCTTATGTGGATGATAATTGTCGGTGGCATTTGTCTGCAAAGGTTGTCAAGAATTCAGAATGTTTCAAAATCACAAGTACATCCATTGAAGACTATGTACGTAAACATGTAATACTGTGTACTTGAGAAACGAGGTAGTGATCATGACAGAGAGAATGGTGTTATTACCACCATGTGTAGGGTCTTGCCAGGAGATAAGTAAAACTATCACAAACAAGTGAGCTTGGAACATTCTTTTTATTCATAGTAGCGATCTAAGTGTAAATTGTATCGTTTTTTCCAACCCGTTAAAGAAAGTGTGAATAGTGTGTGCATGATGGATAACCTTACTGATGAAACTAACCATGGGTCGGAGGTGAAAACAATGAAGAAGTAGATGAGGAAGAAAAAATAGAGGGCAATAAAGAGGATGAAAAGAAAGAAGATGAGGATGACGAAGAGAAGAAAGAGGACGATAAAGATGACGACTATGAACAATAGTAAAGGTAATGACGAAAATTACATTACAACAAGTGGACTGCTTTTTTTTGTTGAGAAATATGGGATAGGATATGTCAGGAATGTTGGTGACACTCAACTTACTGTGGGGCTAGCATAAAAATTCAGTTGATTATTAGAAACATGTACGTATACTAATTAAGGTGTACGTGATTTATAAAGCATCATTGGTTTACGTAATTAAAGTTGATTATTCGACACATGTACGTATACTACTTCACATGTACGTAATTAACGTACAATATTAACACGTCCACATAATCAAAGCAACGTACACTGTAAATTGTATATACGTACACAAAAGAAATTCGCTGAAGGGTATAATTGTAATTGTGCAGTCATCTTCCACATGAGTATCTACTTCTGCAACCCTAAATATGCAGCCGTCATTAATCTTTATCTCAGAATCTCATTTTTTTAACGTTTTGAATGTTTTTTACATACAAATCTTGTAAATCTAGTATATTTTAAGTTTGAAAAACTAAAGAGTTTGAGTTTTGTTTCATTGTTCGATGGTTACGTTAAGTCAATTACGTCGGAAGAACAATTGCTTTCTAACCATTCTCTATCATTTTTTCCAATTCGCTGGAAATCTCTTAATCTATTTAACTTTAATCTCTGTACTTGATAATGAAGCAAAATCAATGACTCTCTAGAAATTAACCTCTTCGCCGAATAATCAGTAACTTGCTCTTCGGCGGATATTAGACTTGAATGAGATGTCTCAAATCAAGTTGCAGAACAATTGAAACGGAGATTTCGAAAGACGAAGATGGATGAATGAATTTCGAACAGAAATTTGACTTCTCTCTCTCTCTCTCTGTCTCTCTCTCTCGTTCTTCTTCTTTGTTTTCTTTGTATTTTTTTTTAATTAATTTAAAACCAAACAGCAAACCAAATGAAAAGAAACTAAACCAGGAGCTACTGTGCTGTTTGATTTCTTTCATTAGGGGTATTTTGGTCAGAATCTGGTTAAATTGTCAAATCCTGAGAACTGAATCTCAGTTTGTCAAAACGTGAGACAAATATTCAAAACTGTCCCTTTTGTGAAAATTTCTTTTTTTTCTACCCGTGACGATTTTCTATTCTTCCTCTTTGTCACCATCAAAACCCTATAAAAAAATTCCAGCTTCTTCTCCATCTTAATCTAATAATCAAGGAGGATTATCTTTCGCCATGAAGAAAACTGATGTTTCTGTTATTTTTTGCTTGGTTACAATTTTTTCTGTTCAACTCTTATAAACAAATTAAGTTTCATGGTATTTTATTTTGCGAAAAAAAAAATTTTTGGGGCATCATTTTTGAATTTGCTTTAAGCATCAAATATCCTCGGGCCGGCACTGTACACCATAATAAAAGCTCAAAAAGATTCCAGTCCTATGTCACTATCAAGAAGGAGATTGTGGATTCTGTTCGAGCTTCTATACATGATTCTTGTAGCTGGAAATAGGTCAGGACATTCTTAGTTTCGGGTCAGTATATGGTTTAACTTCTTTGAGTTTGAGGTTTTTAGGTTTTAGAAAACATGTCCGAAACGCCGAATGATTAAAATGTGATTTTATTTTGGTATGGGTACGGTTGATTTTGAATAGAAAACTGTTACAAATATATAAACTTAATTATATTATGACCTTTTGGGGTATATAAATACAATTTATCAATTTTGGATTTTTTTTAATTTTTGTTTAATTTTGGTATTTTTAATGTTCACGTACGTAGTTATAGATAAATATAGTTTCTTTTTTTTTTTGTGCATAAAAATTCTATAATATTATTACTAAGAAGGAATATTCTCAGTAACAAATTTGCAATCTTTTACCATCGGATAGAATCAACCAAAAATTCCCAACAATTATCAACATATTAAAATACTAAAACTCTTAAAAAGAGTTACATTCTCGAATTAATCTCAATTTTTCACTTTGATTTTATCAAACACACAAAAAAAAAAGAAAAAAAAATTCTATTCCTTTTCCCAATAGAATATGCTATTGTTGTTCTCTCATCTCTATATATAAAGCTATAAAACCCTAACACCCTAACAATCAAATCAACAATCGTCAGCTGAAAAAAAAAAAAAAAGTCTTTCCATATCTAATCACTTGTTTTGTTAATTAATCACTTCCTTGAGAAGAGTCTTGTTCGTGAAACTGTAGTTCAGGATCTTCTCCACCGCTTCCACTGAATCCATCTCCGGCGAAAGTTGAAGGCGGCGTTGAAGAGAAGAGCTTAGGTTACACTAAAGCAGGTTCAGTCCTAAATTTTAATAAATTTTTTATATGGGAATTTGTTTGCAACTAATATCAGATGTTTCATCACGGAAACTAATTTGTTCGATGGATCATGAATTTTGCATGCTATAAAACAATATGACATGATCTTTCTGTGTTTTTATCTTTTTTATCGCAATATTTTTGGTCAGTTTAAGTTACGCATCCCCAATTTTTTTTTTGAAAGATGTTGATAGATTTTATTTCCTAAAACTTATATTACTACTAGTTTCAATTTTTTATCAAACTAGACTTGCTACGTTTTTGTTACACCAACTTTCTCTATATATATTGTAACAATTCTTTCCACTTTGTTTTGTTTTTCAGAGTTAAGAGAACAAAAAATTTCGCCATGTCTAACAAAGAACAAGGAAGTATCTTGAAAGCTCTTGACGTTGCAAAGACTCAATGGTACCACGTCACGGCGGTGGTAGTCTCCGGTATGGGTTTCTTCACAGACTCTTACGATCTCTTCGTGATATCTCTTATCACGAAGCTCCTTGGCCGGATCTACTATCAAGTTCCTGGCTCCTCCTCGCCCGGAAGCCTCCCTGACGGTATCTCTGCCGCCGTGAGCGGTGTGGCCTTCGCGGGAACGTTACTCGGACAGATTTTCTTCGGGTGTCTTGGTGACAAGCTTGGACGTAAGAGAGTCTATGGTTTGACACTCTTGATCATGACCATATGCTCCATTGGTTCTGGTCTTTCCCTTGGAAGAGACCCGAAAACTGTCATGGTAACTCTCTGCTTCTTCCGCTTCTGGCTTGGTTTTGGCATTGGTGGTGACTATCCTCTCTCCGCTACGATCATGTCCGAGTATGCCAATAAACGTACTCGCGGAGCGTTCATAGCAGCGGTTTTCGGTATGCAAGGAGTTGGGATCCTTGCTGCAGGAGCTGTTTCGTTACTTGTCTCGGCTGTTTTCGAGAGTAAGTTTCCGTCTCGGGCCTATATATTGGACGGTGCAGCCTCCACTGTCCCACAGGCGGATTACGTGTGGAGGATCATCCTCATGGTTGGCGCCTTACCAGCTCTCTTGACTTACTACTGGCGGATGAAGATGCCTGAAACCGCTCGTTACACCGCTCTAGTCGCCAAGAACGCGGAACAAGCAGCTTCGGATATGACTAAGGTTCTCAACGTAGACATTGAAGCCTCTTCCGCAAAGAATGATCAAGCTAGGGTTTCCTCAGACGAGTTTGGCTTGTTCTCCATGAAATTCCTTCGCCGTCACGGACTCCACTTATTCGGAACAGCCTCCACATGGTTCCTCCTCGACATTGCTTTCTACAGCCAAAACTTGTTCCAGAAGGATATCTTCACCACCATCGGTTGGTTACCTTCGGCTAAAACCATGAACGCAATCCAAGAGCTCTTCATGATCGCTAGGGCTCAAACCATAATCGCTTGTTGCAGTACCGTTCCGGGTTACATTTTCACTATATTCTTGATCGATTATATGGGACGGAAAAAGATTCAGGTCATGGGATTCGCTATGATGACCGTTTTCATGTTGAGTTTAGCCATACCGTACCATCATTGGACCTTACCGGCTAACCGGATTGGTTTCGTGGTTCTCTACTCTTTCACCTTTTTCTTCTCCAATTTTGGACCTAACGCAACTACTTTCATTGTCCCGGCTGAGATTTTTCCGGCGCGGATAAGGTCGACTTGTCACGGTATCTCAGCGGCGTCGGGTAAAGCCGGTGCGATGGTCGGTTCTTTTGGGTTTTCTGCTTTGGTTAAAGCTTTGGGTATGAGTACCACGTTATACATCATGGGAGCAATCAATCTTGCTGGCTTGTTAATCACGTTAGGTACAATTCCGGAGCCTAATGGGATATCGCTTGAAGAGCTTTCCGGCGAAACTGAACCGGAAAAAATCCAGGAGAAGATTGTTGTTGTTTAGATTTTTTTTCTTGTTTTCTTTCTTAATTATCGCATTTTGTTAGGATCTTTTTTTTTTGTGTTTTGAAAGATTTTTAGATTATATTGTTGCACTCTGAGTTTCCTACTTTTTTTTATTACGTTTAGAATCTGAGATCCAAAATATAACAACAAACATATAGTATGAGAATTTTTTTTTTTCAAATTAAAAATCCTTTGTTGAGCTTATTCTATGGGAAGAAGAATCTTTAATATCTAGCAAATTGTTTCCTTCGCACATTAACGAACAAGATTGTTCTGGTATCGAATAGAAGCTCATGTTCCTGTTCTATCTCTTAACCGCGACCTGAGGAAGAAGAAGAAGAAGAGTCGGGTTTCAATTCAATCTCTTGGAACCGTTATGATGAACCGCCGATGGAACCTGTTGATCACTGGAGGTCTTCTTTTCCGTTAACGGTCATGTGGGTATGTTAGTAGCTTTGTGCACGTAGTCTGTTGTACTTTGGTTCGAGGCACGGCCACTGGCAGGTTTACATAGGGGAATTGCCAACCTCGTGGGATTAGTCCTTGGGCCTAGGAAGCCTTTGGGAGACCCGCGGTTATTAAAAAAAAAAAAAAAAAAAAAAAAAAAAAAAAAAAAAAAAGAAGAAAGTACCTGAACTTTTGTTTTTGTACAATGTTTGGTAGGTTATGCACTTCCAAAGTTTGCTCAGCTGACAGTTACCTCGTATTATGCATCTTCAAGTGCTTCACATTATGGATTTTTCTATGCTCACCCGCCGTATCGAAGAAGCTCATCTCTCTCGAACTCAGAAAGAAGAGGTAAAATGAAGTCATTCACAGATAAACGAGAATCTATTCCACTCCTCTAGCTGAGCCAGCTTATTTCACGATCTCTTTGGTTTTTCGGTTACCTTTTCAAGTCACATTCTTGAGAACCACATCTATAATGTTAATTCCTCAACATAGTTATACCAAATATATAAAGTCTTTTAGTTCCTCTCCATCTTCAGTTTTTGGTTTCTGTTGCCGTCTTCATAACTGCTTCTTTTCCCTGTTACATGGTATTTGATTCTTGAATATATTATAGTGTTTATACAGTATCCTCCTAATCCATTTTACAAGCAGTCATGGAACTACATGAACCATGTCTTCTCAGTGGCTACCTTTCCATATGAATCTTTAACGGAACTATCCACCACAATTTTCTTCCGGTGCAACACCGATCATGATCTGCGCTTCCCGTGTTCTGAATATTGCTTATGTGAGAAGTTCCCGGGCTGTGTCTAAGTCTACTAATGGGTTTAGCATAATTGCTACCCAATTCATCACCCAAGGCTCTTAGCACGGATACAGGAGCGTCCCACGTATACTGAATCCGTTCTGTAGGTAATCTTGCTATCTCCGGGATCCATTGTCTCATGTAATCACCGTCCGGATCAAATTTAACTCCTTGTAACTTACATCAAAACCCAAAAATATTTACAAAACCTTACAAGCTTTTTAATTTTGACATTAGTATTGGATTGTTTTGGTTACCACATGATTACCTAATCGATCGAACTCGTGACCAATCCAATATCTGTTAATGTTAGCACGGCTCTGGTGACCATCAAGTAAGCTACCGTTATAATAATGCCAACCGAGAATGTCACATTACGTAAAACTCTACCAATAAATTCGAGTTGTTGCGTCTCCCGTTACATAAGAAAAAACCAGAAACCAAAAGAGATCAATCAATTATCAATATGATTGTTTATATGGTCAGCAAATCAGCACTGACACATCGAAAATTAGGAAAACTAAACCTCAAGCTCAAGAGGTTTATTAAAAGTTCTTTATAGCAAACTTTTTTATTCAAAACAAAGCTCTCACTGATTAAACCGGCTGAGAAAAACCGATTTAAGAGAGGCATGAGTAAGCGAGGTCCTTCTCTTCCTTCAACTCCTCTGCTGTCAAATCCATCTTCTTCCTTGATACTTCATCGATCGGTAAACCTGTGAACAAACAACACACATACATCAGAACAATCTCAAAAATAACATCACTAGTTCTATGAGCTAATCATCGCAGCGAGAACCAGCTTTGCACACTTAGCATTAGAGGTGGATTGGATTCTCTTGAGAACATTGTGTTTTACCTTGAACAATAGTCCACTCTCCACTACGGCAGGTTACGGGGAAAGAGTAGATAAGTCCAGCTGGAACATTGTAGGATCCATCTGAGTATACTCCCATTGAAACAAATGTGCCCTGAGAAATCAAATCGAAGAACTTATCAGTTTTATTTAGTACACAAAAAAAACCAATTGATTCGATATTAAACAATAGTTATGACCAACCTCGGGTGTTCCAACGACCCAATCACGGATATGATCACAAGCAGAGCTAGCTGCAGAGAGTGCACTAGACAGTTTCCTGGCCTTGATAATGGCAGCTCCACGTTGTTGAACGGTGGAAATGAACTCTCCATTCAACCTACAACATTAATCTCTAACAAATTTGAGTACCGTATAGACAGAAAACAAGATTGAGATATTATAAGGGGTTTTAAAAGATTTATACCACTCGTCATTCTTGACTAGCTCACGCACTGGCTTCTCTCCAGAGGAAGTCTTAACGGTAGCGTGGTTGACATCTGGGTATTGGGTTGATGAGTGGTTTCCCCAGATAATCACGTTCTTGACATCAGACACTGGTACGCTTAACCTCTCAGAGACTTGTCCCAATGCCCTGTTGTGGTCAAGCCTGGTCAAGCAAGTAATGTTCTTCTCTGGGATTGATGGTGCAAATTCCTTCAGGATCAATGCATTGGTGTTTGCAGGGTTTGCAACAACCAGAACCTACAAAATGCAGAGATAGCAAATATGAAATATCTCTTACAACAAAATAAGAGATTAACTTGCTTCATTTCTGCATAACGGCTATACGAAACGATTAAAGGATTTATAACCTTGCAGTTTGGTGCGGCATGCTTCTCCAAGGCAGCAGCTTGAGACTTGTAAATGGAAACGTTCTTCGACATAACATCCTTCCTTTCCATTCCTTCCTTCCTCGGGAAACCGCCAACCATGACAGCAACATTAACACCAGTACACCCTTCAACAGCATCAGTTGTAGCAACCACACCTATCACCGGAAAAAAACGAAAACATCATATACAATCCAAAGGTGCACAAATTCACAGTAAAACATGTTCGACAAAACTTCGATAACCCAAAATTACCTTTCAGGAGAGGGAAAGCAGCATCGATCAACTCCATTTTCACACCGTTCAAAGCTTCTGCTGCCGGAGGGATATCAAGCATGTGGAGGATCACAGGCTGGTCTGCACCAAGCATTATTCCCCTTGCAATCATAGGAACAAGAGCATATCCAATTTGTCCTGCACAATAACATAACCACACACTTAAACATAATCTACACAAAACTACATATCAATCGCAATACAAAGCTTGCAAAATCATGATCAAAACCAACCCAAAGTAACAAAAATCCTTCATACAATTCATCCAAAACACACTTAACATTGATCTAAACACAAAACTACAAATCAATCGCAAAACCAAGCTTACAAAATCAGAACAAATTTAGATCCAATTCATTTCTCTCATCAGATCTCATTATAGGAATCTAAACAACGATTCAACGATCGAGTAAAATTTTTCGGATTATCAAAACTTCTTGCTATATAAAGATCTGACGATACGAATCAATAACAAGAGAGAGCAGAAACAAGATCGGAGAAATATGAAGATTACCTGCAGCTCCGGTAACAAGAACACGAACTGGTTCCTTCGCCATCTGAATCGAGATCGGAAAATTATCGCCGGTGAGAAAAATAGAAGAGAGCGTGATTGATGATCAGTGAGAGAGCGTGAAGGTGTGAAGCAGACCTGTGTTTATTTATTGGTGGTGGTGAGAGCTCAGATCCATGGATTGATGCCCACGTCATAGAATTATCATTTTGGAAATTTATAATGGGCCGAGCCATTGATAAAAGAAGCCCAATAAATTCAGCCCATATTTAGTGTTTAGGCGAGTTTATCATGCCGATTAATTTGGTAAAGCCCTATTTGATGGATGCTCAATGTGTACTTTTTCTTGTTTAATATGTTTTTATTTTCCAAGTTGTGTCTGAATATTTAAAAGCAAAGTTCTCTAGCTGTCTTTGTAGAAAATGCATGTCATTATAGGTTTGACACTGTTATAGAAGAAAAGGTCTAAACAGAAAAAAATGATAAAATAATTTTGGAAGTAGGAATTTGAGAAATCCGAAGATGTAATATTTGATTATTATTTTTATTCTGTATAATGCATATTGTGCTTGCATCTACAAAAAAAAAGGGGAAAAATGTTCTTTTGCAGTTTTTTTCCATCGAAATTCGATTCTATAAAATTGGGTTATTCCATATACTAAATTGTTATAGATCGGTTCAATCGATCCAATAATAAAAAAGATTGTTATTACCGTGAAAATCAATAAAACAAATTTAACAATTTAGTGAATATATAGATGATATAAAATGTAGTATTAAACTTTGGTTGGCTTTAATACTCGTCTAGTCGTTTGATATAGCGTTTATCCGACGGTTCATCCGAAAGATCCGTGACAAAAATATTTACAAAAATATATACATCATTTGCGGAGAAAGCTAAGTTCCACTTTTTTGTTATCATCATAAATATTAATGTCTATAGTAATAGATTGTTGTGCGGAAAATCTTTGTGGTAAACTTTGTGAGCTTCAATAGTATCGGAACAAGATTTGTTTGGTTTTAGCAATGCATTATCCTGATTACATGTTTTAGATCGAACATTGTGTCTTTCTGTAATTTTCTTTTGTTTTTTTCGTGTTTTATAACCACTCTAAATCTACTATCAATATTACTTCAATAACAAAAAAATAAAGCTACAGAACAATAAAATCCAACTAATTTTATGTTATCAATCAACATCTTTTTTATATGGTGTGACGTAGGTTACTCCATAAATGAAGAAATATAGCAAATTTGGAGGAAAAAAAAAGCAAATTAGTTAAGCAAAAAAAAAAAAAACAAAAGTGAAAAATTAGGGATAAGGAAAGAAAATCTCTCATCTTCAAGGCCGTCTCGTCAGATTTCTTTTTCATTTTTCTTTTAACGTTTGGTTTCGTCTGTAATTCGTTATCTTCCTTAAGAAAAAGAAAACAGATTTTTTTTCAGAAAAAAAAAAAAAAATACTGAATCAAGCTGTCTCATAACAGTCTTTATAGATCAGACGATAATCGAATCCAAAGACCCATTTTTTTTTGTTTCGGTCTGATTTCGTCTCTCTTTGTTCTTTTCATCTTTTTTTGTTTTGTCTCTTCCGTTTCATTTTGTGTTTCTTCAAAACCTGATCTGAAAACTTTTTGTCAGAAAAAAAAATGTCAGAGTTTCGATGACGATGTTGGTCAATGGGTGAATTTTAGTTTGTGTTAAAGCAGAAGTTCAATTAGATTACTTGGTGAATCGATTTTAGGTCAAAACAGTTTTGATTCGATTCAGATATTTGAAGGGTTCTGATCTTTGAATTGGATCGGGCTTTTAGAGAGTCAGGGAACAAGAATTGAGATCTGGGTCAACTTTGGTGTTTAAGAGATTGAAGAAAGGAGGAAACTTTTTTGATTTGGAAACGATGGATCGTGTGGTTGGTGGCAAGTATAAGCTTGGACGTAAACTTGGAAGTGGTTCATTTGGTGAACTTTTTCTAGGTATTTGCTTTTTTCTTTATTCATGTCTTTTTGGTAATTCCAAGTTTTGGTTTTGTAATAACTCTTTTTGATTGTGTTGATTCAGGGGTTAATGTACAAACTGGTGAAGAAGTTGCTGTGAAGCTTGTAAGTCTCAACATTTTGACCATTACTCTTTTAAATTCAGTAATGTGTTAACTTATTCTTGATCACCAAAATTTGTAGGAACCTGCGAGGGCTAGACATCCTCAACTTCATTATGAATCAAAGCTCTATATGCTTCTTCAAGGAGGAAGTAAGTTATCGTCTTTCGTCGGTTTAAACCTTCGGTTATCGTTCTTTTATTAATCTTTATGCTTGTGTTATTGAAGCTGGTATTCCGCATCTAAAATGGTATGGGGTAGAGGGTGAATTCAACTGTATGGTGATTGATCTTTTGGGTCCGAGCATGGAGGATTTATTTAATTATTGTAGTCGGAGGTTTAATCTAAAGACGGTTCTAATGCTCGCAGATCAGATGGTATGGATATATTATCTTCCTATCTTCTGATATATTTGAGTTATTGCATTGCTCATATTTTGATTGCTTCAGATAAATAGAGTTGAGTATATGCATGTCCGGGGATTTCTTCATCGTGACATAAAGCCAGATAACTTTTTGATGGGTCTTGGACGCAAAGCGAACCAGGTGAGTAGTTATGGTAATATACTTGTTTGGTCTTTTGTTACTACCTTATGAATTCTACTATATGTTTGCATCTTTTCTCTGATATGTCATCTTTGTTATTGTGTAGGTGTATATCATTGACTATGGACTTGCAAAAAAGTATAGAGATCTTCAAACTCATAGGCACATTCCCTACAGGTACACATTCTTGTTAATGAAATATTGGTAAATATATTCCCTTTGCACCTTTCACACTTGCTAATCGAGAGTTACTTATTAGGGAAAACAAGAATCTTACTGGAACAGCTCGATATGCAAGTGTTAACACTCATCTTGGAATTGGTGAGTATTGTTTGCTTGTTATGTTTATACGAGCTTTTTCTTCTTTCATTTTCACATAAAAAACTTGACTATTTGTATGTCCATCAAACTAAATTGAAATCTTTTAAACAGAGCAAAGTAGGAGGGACGATCTTGAATCTCTTGGTTACGTGCTTATGTATTTTCTTCGAGGAAGGTATAAAATATAAATACATCTTTACTTCACCCAAAATTATTTTAGAGTTTTCTTCCATTTGTCCCTTACCCTCAGTCTCTCTTGCTAGTCTTCCTTGGCAAGGTCTTCGTGCAGGTACCAAAAAGCAGAAGTACGACAAGATCAGCGAAAAGAAAAGGCTTACACCCGTAGAGGTACTAATCCATTTTTCAACTATATCTGGAAACCTGTATAGAAACTGCCATAATTATTTTCTTAAAGCTAGGTTTAAATGTTTTCATAGATACAATTTAAATGTCCACTGGCAGGTTCTCTGTAAATCCTTCCCACCTGAGTTCACATCGTACTTTCTCTATGTACGATCATTGCGGTTTGAAGACAAACCAGATTATCCATACCTAAAGAGGCTTTTCAGGGATCTCTTCATTCGAGAAGGTTGGAAAAAGTCTCGATTTTTCCTTATTTTCTTTTAGTTTATGCTTGAAGATTTTCACATTAAAAACTCAAAATTCTGTTTTTAATGTTATATATTTGCAGGTTATCAGTTTGACTATGTATTTGATTGGACAATCTTGAAGTATCCACAGTTTAGTTCCGGCTCCAGCTCTAGCTCCAAACCAAGAGTAAGCGACATATATTTTTTTGGAATCTTCCATCATCTTAAAAATTCTTTAGAACATATTATCAAATTCTCACGTTTGTCTCTGTGTTCCAACAGTCAAGCCTGAGACCAGCTATGAATCCTCCAGTACCAACTGCTGAAAGACCAGATAAACCTTCAGGTAAGCCTTAAACTGTATAACCCATATCTTCAGTAACAACTCTTAGGTTCAACACTTGCCTAAGTTTCCGTGTATCTTTTCGTGGTTGCTTCGGCTTCTTCGCTTCGTTGAACAGTTTCCCTATTTGGTTACTTGCGCTGCTAAAACGTCAGGTGCTTTGTAGCTACCTAGGAGTCGATTAGTTTCTGTTTTTTTCTTTTTCTTCATTTTCTAAGAGAAAGGTTCAGCAGTTTTGTAGGAATATCTAAGTGTGCGTCTAGGCCTATTCGTCTGTTGATTTTCTTATAACTGACTTGGTCACAAAAGCATCGTGTTTGCTACTCAAAGTTTGGTGTTTGAACAAAACCGGACATAGTAAACCAAATTTGTGTCTGTATACAGCTGGAGCTGGGCAAGACAGTCGCGATAGATTCTCAGGTGCTTTAGAGGCATATGCTAGAAGAAATGGCTCAGGAAGCGGTGTGGTTCAAGCTGATCGATCTAGACCAAGAACCTCAGAGAATGTATTAGCATCATCAAAGGATACAACTCCAGTGAGTCATCTAAATACATGAAAACTTTTCTATATTGGCTATTCAAATCCTTTCTTAAACTCGTTTTTGATCAAAACCAGCAAAACTATGAGAGAGTCGAAAGACCAATCTCTTCAACAAGACACGCAAGTTCGTCAAGAAAAGCTGTTGTCTCAAGCGTACGAGCCACTTCTTCAGCTGATTTCACAGAGAACCGCTCGAGCAGAGTTGTCCCAAACAATGGCCGTTCCTCAACTGCTCAGAGGACTCAGCTTATCCCTGACCCAACCACTAGACCATCGTCTTCTTCTTTTGCCCGAGCTGCGCCGTCGAGGACTGCGCGTGACATCACGCTCCAGAGCTTTGAGCTACTCACCATAGGGAATGGAAAGAGGAAGTGAGAGGCTGGCTTTATTGGTGAGTGAGTTGGAGGAAACTACGACATTTTTATGGATGGATACTTTGTTTTTATTTCACGAAATTATCGGTTTCCTAATTTAAGGAATAAATCGAACATCATTTGATTACAAATTATATGTGATAAGTATATGGTTTTAACTTGTTAAGCTCTTCACTAAATTCCATGTGTTTATCTTGTAATAATAATTCAAATGTCGTCTGACAAAAATAAAAATAAAACTAGATGTCATTAGTCCCAATAAAAGTTATGCAAAATTGGGTCTCGAACCCCAAATTTTTTTTTAACTGAAACAAGTGTCCGAATATAGGCCTGGGCAAATAAACCGAACCGAATGTACCGAACCGAAAATTTGAAAATAACC